AAGTCTGCATTAAAATGTTAACTGTAAAAGACTTAAGTCCATTTATCAGTAGAATACGGGATAATGAAAACAAATATTTTCAAATTTTTATTATGTATACTGTCTTTTGGTCATTCCAAAGCTTATGTTCAAATTTCAGAAGGTCCATAAAGGTTTGAAAAAATTATTGATGTCTAAAAAACTTTAAACACAGACTGAACCTTAATTTTGACGACGCCGACGTCAAAGATGACGAAATCAAGAATCGCTGTGTCTCATTTCTGAGACATAAATGTCGCAGGCTTGACAAAATCAAATGAAGAAGATATTTAGAATATCAGTTTCATAGATGACGACGGATATGTGGTAACCACAATCCCATCCTCTTGTCCGGGGGCCTCGAATGTTTCCTTCCAACACAAACTTATCATTGTGTTTGTGCTTACATGATCAACACGATGCAGGTGCCACAAGTGGAACAGGATCTGCTTACCCTTCCGGAGCAAATGATATCACTCATGGTTTTTTATGGGATACGTATTGCTCACTCTTTAGATTTCTATCTGGTGTTTTGTATACTGTTGTTTTCTTTTGATCGTTTACCGTTTTTTTGGCCATAGCATTGTCTGTTCGTTTTTGACTTATGAGTTTGAACATCCCGTTGGTACATTTCGCTTCTCGTTTATAACACTGGAAGAATTCATCTTAACTTGTTTATTGAAAAAAATAGCGTATGGAAATATTGGAAGGGGACATTCTCTTTGTGTTAAAAAAATTAAGTTTTTGTGTACTTATTTTCTAATTCTTTTCTACCGATCTTCAGTAATTTACCCTCAGTCCGCCTTTTCAAAGCGAAAGTAAAATTTAAATACAAACTCATATCATATAACTAGAATTGTAACTCGAAGTTCAACTCAAATAAGATCTAAATGAGATTCAAATAAAAAGTTTAACTCGAATTGTACCTCGATATCTACCGTTAATTGTGACTCAAATTCAAAGTTAACTCGAATTGTAAATCGATATCTACCGTTAATTGTGACTCAAACTCCAGGTTTAACTCGAATTGTAACTTGTACTTAAACTCAAAGTTTAACTCGAATTGTAACTCGATATCTACCATAACTTGTGACTCAAATTTAAAGTTTAACTCGAATTGTACATCGATCTCTACCGTTAATTGTGACTCAAACTCAAAGTTTAACAGTAACTTGGACTAAAATTGAAAGTTTAACTCAAATTGTAACTCGAATTCTACCGTTAAATGTGACTCAAACTCAAAGTTGAACTTAAATTGTAACTCGATCTCTACCGTTAAATGTGACTCAAACTCAAATGTTAACTCAAATTATAATTCGATATCTACCGTTAAATGTAACTCAAATTCAAAGTTTAGCTTGAATTTTAACTTGGACTCAATTTCAAAGTTTAACTCGAATTGTAACTCGATCTCTACCATTAAATGTGACTCAAATTCAAAGTTTAACTCGAATTGTAACTCGATATCTACCGTTAATTGTGACTCAAATTCAAAGTTTAACTCGAATTGTAACTCTATCTCTACCGGTAAATGTGACTCAAATTCAAAGTTTAACTCAAATTGTAACTCATGCTCTACCGTTAAATGTGACTCAAATTCAAAGTTTAACTCAAATTTTAACTCGATATCTACCGTTAATTGTGACTCAAATTCAAAGTTTAACTCGAATTGTAAATCGATCTCTACCGTTAATTGTGACTCAAACTCCAGGTTTAACTCGAATTGTAACTTGGACTAAAACTCAAAGTTTAACTCGAATTGTAACTCGATATATACCATAACTTGTGACTCAAATTTAAAGTTTAACTCGAATTGTACATCGATCTCTACCGTTAATTGTGACTCAAACTCAAAGTTAAACAGTAACTTGGACTTAAATTGAAAATTTAACTCAAATTGTAACTCGAATTCTACCGTTAAATGTGACTCAAACTCAAAGTTGAACTCGAATTGTAACTCGATCTCTACCGTTAAATGTGACTCAAACTCAAATGTAAACTCAATTAATAATTCGATATCTACCGTTAAATATAACTCAAATTCAAAGTTTAGCTTGAAATTTAACTTGGACTCAAATTCAAAGTTTAACTCGAATTGTAACTCGATCTCTACCATTAAATGTGACTCAAATTCAAAGTTTAACTCGAATTGTAACTCGATCTCTACCGTTAATCATGACTCAAAATCAAAATTTCACTCGAATTGTAACTCGATCTTTACCGTTAATTGTGACTCAAATTCAAAGTTTAACTCGAATTGTAACTCGATCTCTACCGTTAAATGTGACTCAAATTCAAAGTTTAACTCGAATTGTAACTCGATATCTACCGTTAATTGTGACTCAAATTCAAAGTTTAACTCGAATTGTAACTCAATCTCTACCGTTAAATGTGACTCAAATTCAAAGTTTAACTCGAATTGTTACTCGATCTCTTCCGTTAAATGTGACTCAAATTCAAAGTTTGACTCAAATTTAAACTCGATATCTACCGTTAATCGTGACTCAAATTCAAAGTTTAACTCGAATTGTAACTCGATCTCTACCGTTAATTATGACTGAAACTTAAAAATTTAAATTGAATTGTAACACGATCTGTACCGTTAATTGTGACTCAAATTCAAAGTTTAACTCGAATTGTTACTCGATCTTTACCGTTAATTGTGACTCAAACTCAAATTTAACTCGAATTGTAACCTGAAACTCAACTCTAACTCGAACTTTAACTTTAATTATTGCTTGAATTCTAACTCGAACTCGAAGCATTACTCGACATTTCACTCGAACTGTAACTCGATACTAAACTTGAACACTACCTCGATGGATAGCCACACTCAGCCGAGGCACATAAAACAACGACATAGAAATCAGTTTAAAAATAGAAATTTTTTTTTTCAAAAATGCTCACGTAGTTTTACCTCATCAAGTAACGTGATAATCTCATCAAAGAATGACAAAATCACATCAAATACTAGAACGAACACATCATGTAGCGTAAAATCGTCAAATTTTAAAACATCATTATGTAAAAAGTAAAATAACAAAATTACCGAACTCCAAGGGAAATTCAAAACGGAAAGTCCTTTATTGAATGGCAAAACCAAAGGCTCAAACATACATGTATCTAACGAATGGAAAACAACTGTCATATTCCTGACTTGGTACAGGCATTTCCTTATGATGAAAATGGTGCATTAAACCTGGTGTTATATATAGCTAGCTAAACCTCTCACTTGCATGAAAGTCGCATTAAACTCCATTATATTGACAACAATGTGTGTACAAAACAAACAGACATAATAGATAAACATGTCAAAAATAGGGGTACAGCAGTCAACATTGTGTTATAATCTTAACCACAATAAAAGCAAAAAAATATGTCAACAAAGAAAAACAAAATGGCATATAGACAAAGCACATAAGCAAAAATTAAAGACAAGAATACAAAAAAAAATGAAATGATAGAACACTGTAGGATAACAAGTTATTAAGATGATAAACAACTTAAATACCTAGAATCCATACTTCAAGACCATCAAGTATTATTTGTGAAGTTGATACGAAATATTTATCAACAAGGTCTTGGTATCTTTCGATGAAAGTTTTTAGAAAAAGGACGCGAGATTCTTTGACATAATCCTGGTTCATCAACTTTCTGCTCAGACACTGGTGACGTTTTCTAAAGTCTTGTTAGCAGCTGCAAGCTCTTGAATACCAAATGAGTTGTGAAATGCATATCCCATATGCAGGTGAAGCTGGTATTTTGCTACTAAGGTGGGGGAAATTGATAATTTCAAAATTAAAATCGTCTCGTTTGTCATAGATTCTAATTTCAAAGCCATATAAAGAATTGACAGATCATCATTACGAAATAACAAAACCACATCATGTAATGAAACAAGTACATAACGTTAACCCACATACACGTCAAATTATGTCAAAACCACATTGCGTAGTGACACAACCACATTAAGAATGTACTTAGGTTTAGAAATTTGTGTCAGATGTTCGGCCTCCTTTTTTTTTTCTACGATACAGGGTAAAATACTTTGCCTCATATCATCCAATTTTCTTTTCATATTAGACTTCAATAGCTCATAAAAAATTCTGCAGATTCTAGATTTCTCTTCTTTCGATTTGAGACCCAAATAATACCAATGCAAATATTTGATTTTTAAAAAATGGCGGAAAAAGGCTGACTCGGACTTTTACGTTATATCTAGCATTGGCATTGGCTTTATTTGAGTCTCATATCGTAAACACAGAAATCTAGAATCTGCTTAAATTTTGATAATGACCTTTGATGAGCTTTTGAAGTCTTATATGAAAAGAAAAGTGGGTGATATGGGGCAAACTATTTCATCCTGTATAGTTGGAAAAATGTCAAAACCATATTATGTAAAGACAAAATATCATAAAGTAATAATAAAACCACGTAACGTAATATCATAGTACAGCATAAGCCAGCTGTGGCGTTCTTGTGTTATGCTTGATGCTGGTACAACCGCCGTCCCAGGTTACACATATGTATAAACACACCACCTTCTAAATGTGCTTTTCCTGAAATTTTAAAATGAAAATCAGAAACCTGTATTTAAGCCTTTATCGTCTGTCATATTTTTTTCCGATAATTGTTTTGTCACTAGTAAATCAGGCTGTTAGGTTTGTTTTTATTTTTTTATTTTTTTTAAAAAATTTTTTACATTTTGTCATATAGGGGTTTTGATAACTGACTATACGGTATCGGTTTTGCTCACTGAAGAATGCCATATCATGACCCATAGTTCCTTAAATTCTCGTCATTTGGAATATGGTGGCTATATGTTTCAAAGGCAATCATACCACATCTCCTTATTTTGATATCAATGCAGGGAAATCAGTGTCATACTTTAAAAGTAAAGTCCCGAGACGCATCAAAAATATTTATAATGTTACAAAACTTCTAAAAATACTCCATTTCAATCAACAGTGCGTAACACTCAAGTTTAAATCTAAACATGTATTCTACCCATATAATGACTTCCGCAAAGTTGTAAATATAAAGTACTATGGAGGAGAGTATTTTACTTCTGTTGTTTAGGATAGTAGTTTTTCTTTAAGGTATTTAAATTGTGAATTCTATAAGTTTTGAGTGTACCCTTGGTACCACAAGCGTAATATCCAGATTTTGTTTAGTTCTGGACAAGTTATGAAATATATTATTCAACAATTTAAATAGATATCATGTGTGACATAAATAATACCTACCATATGATAAACATACATGCATAAAACTATACATGTATATTATACATGATCCTATTAAACGCGTACCATTCTATATACACAAGTATGATGCATTACTTTCAAAGTACGACTGTATCAATTGTAGATATACAAAATGTACAGCTACAAACAGTTCCAGATCCATGTCCAGAGTATATCTCCAGTACAACCATCGGTAAGTGAGTTTATTCTAGTTTCTTTAAGTTTACCTTCAAACATTCAACCTGATATTTGCTGGAAGTAAAGAGATAACATATAAGGTAACGGTTAGGCTTAGCAATTGTTTTGTAAAAAAAATGCTTCCTGGTCAGTTTTCAGTAAGCAAATGCGTCTCAATGTCAGCTGCAAAACAAAGTTGATTAAAGATAATGTAACTACATGTACTACATCCTATTTAAATCTATTTATTATTAATTACATATTTGTTGAAAGGGGATATGTGCACCACTGATTATGCAACAGAAGAAGATAACAATGGAGGTACAACAGAAGACAGTGTTGCACTACGTGTTGTGACACAACAAGATGGATGTGAATGTGAAGTTACATTACAGAATCAGACTAATATATATATACATTATATATGAGGAAGTATGATATGATGACAAGTGCAGCTCCAGAACAGATAGCATGTGGGCTTGCCATTAAGATAGACTACACCATACCAACAAATCTCCCAGAGACTAAGGATACAATAAATTGTACAGATGGAACAAATTCTCGCGCTATATCACTTTTGAAAAACGGAGTTCTAAATCTCAGATCTAGAATTATTGATGGTACTTTTACTAGAGGTTACTGTATTCAAATATATAGACGTAGGTATTCAATTTAAATCTTAATATTGATGATTTGATACATTGTACATTTAAATGAGGAATGAGAACATTTTCAAAACGGGTAAAAATCATTTTAGTGACTTACATTGATAAACTCTATGTTTATGATATATTTTACAAATCTCAGTATTTGCAGTTTTCTTACAGAACAATTACTTGGCGACGAACAAAGTCTGCGAATAAGTTGCAGTCAATTTCGTACAACCACACGTATTACAAAACACAAGGAGACAATGCCAGGTTAGAATTAGACTAAATAAACTTACAGAAGATAGTATTACTTAAGAAAACTTTAAGTCTAAGAATAAAAATAACTTATGAGGGGAAAAATTACAGTAACTTGCGAATTTAACATTGAGAAATGATATTCCCAGAAAAACAGGAGAACAGACACAAAAAGAACCTTCTTAACAGTTCCGAAATTGTTATATTAATGATTACATATAAATTGTCATACTATAGTGAAGAGAATGCGAATTTTGTGATAAAATTTCATTAAATTAATGTAAATACGTTTTATATATTCTCCTACATAAAAAAAAAAGATATGGTGCGATTGCAAATGAAACAACTATCCATCAACACCACAACAAAGATGTACACAATTACAGATCTTACTGTCTGTATTGCAGAACGGAGAATTTAAGGATTAATGAAAAATTCCAAGACTCTGACAATTTTAATTCTTAATATATAATGATTTATACTTGTACATTTTCCTATGTCACACGATGAATGATATCGATGTCCCGCATTTTTTCTTATTGTACTCTAAATCATTCACTAGAAACCCAACTCTTCCAATTTCAATTGAAATTTAAAATGTCCTTTTTCTTTCTTTTTAGATAACTGTGGTAATTGTTTTCTTATTTCTCATTGACTACATATTTGTTCAATTTGGAGGTAGACTTTTTCTACAAAGTGTCGGCATTCCTATGGGAACGAACTATGCGCCTCTCCTTTTCTTATTTTCATATGAGTAGGAGTTCTTCCAGACACTTGTCAAAAACAAGAAGATCAAACAAGCCAGATCATTTAATTTCGAATTCAGATATATTGATGATGTTCTTTCCATTAACAGTACAAACTTTTCTGATTGGGTTCCATTAATATGTCCCCCAGAACTAGAAATAAAAGAAACAACAGACACGGCTTCCTCCGCCTCATTTTTAGACCTATACCTCGAATTTGACATGAGCGGTCATCTCAGTACCAGAATCTATGACAACCGAGACGATTTTAATTTTGAAATTATCAATTTCACCCACCTTAGGAGCAATTTACCAACTTCGCCTGCATATGGAATATACATTTTCCAACTCATTCGGTATTCAAGAGCTTGCTGCTACTACCCAGACTTTAGAAAACGTCGCCAGTATCTGAGCAGAAAGTTGATGAACTAGGGTAATGTCTTTCCCTTTTTCAAAAAAAGTTCATCGGAAGATTCCAAGACCTTGTTGATAAATATTCCGTATCAACTTCAAAATTAATACATGATGGTCTTTAAGTATAGATTTTAGGTACTGACGTTGTTTATCATCTTAATTACGTGTTAAAGTGTTCTTTTATTTGGTCTGTTTGTTTTGTTCACACATTGTTGTCAATATAATGGAATTTTATGCGACTGTCATACAAGTGAGAGGTTTAGCTAGCTATAGCTATAAAACCAGGTTTAGTCCTTCATTTTCTACATAAGGAAATGCCTGTACCAAGTCAGAAATATGACAGTTGTTTTTTTTTCAATTGTTTGATGTGTTTGAGCTTTTGATTTTGCCATTTGATAAGGGACTTTCCGATTTAAATTTTCCTTGGAGTTTATTTTTTGTTATTTTACTTTTTTCTTCTTACAAAAAAACGGAGCTCTTAGCACACTAACGTAATCGATAAGCGAACATAAAACTGTATTACTATTAATTCATTATATCTGTTTAAAGAGCATTAATATACTTTATTTACAAACTCTCAAAATTAATCGTTGAGTTTTGTTTCGAGCAATAGTCCCTTTGTATGTGTTTTGTAGAAAATGTCATTGTAAGTTTACCAGTAATTGTTGCTGCTGCTATCGGTTGGTGTTTAACAGTATTGTTTGCCATATCAACGATCTATATGTACAGAAAGTAAATATAAACTTACGAAACTGTTTTATCTATATTTAGATCTCCCAAAACCATTAAGATCAAGACATAAGTTATTGTTTATGTTGTAACTGACAATATCTTTAAATATAGTTATTTATCATTTACCCCTTTCTACACAAACATTCCTCCATCTTCTTTAATATTTTTACCTACATTATATATATTCACAAAAGAATAAATAAATTTGGTGTATTTACTGTCTTCTGATTGGTTAAAAGTATTACCTTTATTTTCAATGTTGTCAATTTTTATGGCGACACGCACACTCTGACGTTGTGTATTCATACGCCAACATATGTGTACGTTGTTATTGTTAATATAAATCATATAAAAAGCTCTTTGAGCCTTATTTTTGATAGAAATGTATTTATAATAAATGGCTATTATTTATTTTGAATTCATCGCACCATAAAATTAATTTTTGACTCATCACATTTTACATAATCCGCTTCGCGGATTATTCAATGTGAAGAGTCAAAAATTAATTTTATGGTTCAATAAATTCAAAATAAATAATAGCCATTCATTAAATAAAATGGCAAAATAGAATGATAGTTCTGTAAAAGAGTGGCGAAATATACGAAAGGGACATTCAACCTAAGTCGAAAATAAACTGAACATAAATTTATTTTGTAGAAAATGTGTCTGTACTCCTAACAACAGAATTATTATATTTAAATTTACCTGTGTACGTTACTTTATTTTAACGCCATTTTGTCCTAGGTTAAAGTTGTCTGTTTGACATTGTTACATCTTTTTTATTTATATTGTTTTGTTTGTTTATATGTCTTTTTGATCGAGTTAAGTCATTTCAATTAGTATTTTATTGTGTGTCTTTTTATGTTGTAATGTTACACTACTGTTTCAGGTTAGGATGAAGGTTGACGGCTGTTAAAACGTTTAACCCCCCTGCATTTGTATGCACCTGTCCTAAATCAGGAGCCTGTTGTTCAGTGCTTGTCGTTTGTTCATAAGTGTTTCTCGTTTTTTATATAGATTAGACCGTTGGTTTTCCTGTTTGAATTGTTTTACACAAGTCATTTTGGGGCCCTTTATAGCTTGCTGTTCGGTGTGAGCCAAGGCTCCGTGTTGAAGGCCGTACTTGAACATAATTGGATGACCATTTTTACACGGATAAAATATTTTTAAGCCATTTTAATGTTTAAATGTATGAATTGACTAGCGCCAGATTATCTTACTATTAAATTTACTGCGTGCAGTGATCTATATAGTTATTCTCTTAGGTCAACAACATCCTGACATCTTCATATACCAAGGCCAAAGTCTGAATACATCAAAAAGACTATTCAATATTCTGGTCTAATTATTTGGAATAGTTTGTCAAATGATATAAAAGATTCAAGACATTTAGAAAGCTTTAAATTGAAATGTGCCAATCTTTTTATCACAAAACAAAATGAGTAGACACACTTGTTTTTTAGGACATTCTTACCATGCTAGTTCAACAGTCTGTTTTCATGCTTTTGTATATACATTTGTAATTGTGTACATCTCTATTGATTATTGTGTTATATGCATTGATTGTTATATGTATTGTTCATTTTAATGTGTGAAGGCCTCGTGTGAGATTAACAATTGTATGTTAAATTAGTTACCTTCGTTAAATAAAGAATTTATTATTATTATTACTTTGACCTATAATTGTTTACTTTTTACACATTACGACTTTGGTGGATAGTTGTCTCATTTGCACTCATACCACATCTTCTTATCTAAATTGATAAAGCCATGGCTATAAAAGAAAAAGACCAACAGACCAACAATAGTACACAAAACACAACATAGAAAACGAAAGGCTGAGCAAAAAGTAACCCCACCAAAACCTGGGGGTGATCTCCGGCTCTCCGGAAGGATAGACAGATCTTGCTCCACATGTGGCACCCACCGTGGTGCTCATGTTAGTACAAACCCGGTGGGAAAAGGAGGCGGGTTCTAGTTACGACATTAGGAACATATCCGCTATCGTCTGTGAAACGGATATTCCAGAACAGTCAACCAACTCGTGATGCCGTCCGAAAAATTTACGAAGGGATGATTTCATCTTGACCACTTGGAACTCTTGCTTTAATAGCTTCTTTGTGAGCAGCAACCCTCCATCAAGGAAATCATGATAGGAAATAAAAGCCCTGGAATATCGTATCAAATTGAGATATATGATTCATATGCCGGCACACAAGTTCACAATAGATATATTGATCTTAGCATAAAAGATCAATATACGTTTCAACGGTTATTATTTTAAGAAAGATGATTTTAAGATACTGTTCTTCTCAGACATGCATGTTTTTCTTTCATCATCTAAAAAGAGGCTGGTATGGCGTTGAATACCGCATTATTAATCAGTGGACAAGTTTAAACTTAAAATTACTTCTTACAATTATTGTTACGACTTGTAAAACCAATAACTTCCAAATGCCACTTCATGAATTACAATTTCAATTTCAGAAGAAATACACCACCACTAAATACTGCTATTGAACAACATACCAACCCGCAATATGAGGATTTAAGAGCATCACGGACTTCATCTTGTTACAATGAGGTTGATTTATCAATCATTATTAATGCTGAACGACATGATCATATTTGACACCCATATAGTTACTAGAATAAAGAATATGAAGGATAATGTCATTCATACACATATGTAGAGATTGATTTGGCTGACAGGAATATATAAAGGAAAATATAAAACAGATGTCGATTTTTAATGTGATAATCTGTACAAGTGACGTAGCAGCATTTACACACAAAGTTTGCAATACATAGTTTAGAACGTTGCTATTTCATAGATCTTAGCATAAAAGCATATAATTTTACAGACAATTTAATGATATTATATCAACATAAAACTATTGAATTGGTGTTGAGTATTTTTTTAATAGTTACATCCTTGACTTGAGAGGAAATAATTTATTTTGTTATCATGTAACTTCCACTTGCAAGCGGTCTTATATTTTAAATGAAGCTTGCGAAATCGATAATATTTCACATGATTTTTCTTTTAACATAAGGAGAAAAAGGTTTGAAAACTCGTGAGAATTAGATATCGTTTGATATCAACTCTCCTTAGTGTCAATAATAATAATAATATGTATTATGTTGCAATTGAATACCTCCAGTTGAAATCTAACTCTAACTAATTAAACCTATATACATCATACTTATGCAGTACAGACATATGCATGTCCCAAGTCAGGAGCCTGTAATTCAGTGGTTGTCGTTTGTTGCTGTATATCATATTAGTTTTTTGTTCATTATTTTGTACATAAATCAGGCCGTTAGTTTTCTCTTTTAAATTGTTTTACATTTGACTTTTCGGGGCCTTTTATAGCTTACTATGCGGTATTGGTTTTACTCATTGTTGAAGGCCGTACGGTTACCCATAGTTGTTAATTTCTGTGTCATTTGGTCTCTGGTGGAAAGTTGTCTCATTGGCAATCATACCACGACTTCTTATTTTTATATTAGCCACTGATATAACCATCAACGAGAGTATCAGGGAAGGTATTAGTAAGGGACATGAACTGCAGACCTCACCGAAGCACCAAAGTTCACTCCTACTGTTCTGTGAAATTTGTGTTGCTCAATCTTTCCTTGTAGTGGTTGTCTTTTCCTTTGTTTTTATTTAGACATGGTGCATATGTGTTTCGACTGTTGCTTTTACAATCTCTTTTGTGCCTTCCCTGTTTTTCCTTACGAACACATATCAAATGTGGTTCCTCTGTTACAGTATTCAAGATAAGCATTATTTATAAATTACATATTTGAGATATCTTTTTTTTCTCTCGCTTTCGAAATAAACTCTTACTCAAACAGATGTAAAAATGAAGTGTGATGCGATGCTTCATTGATCTTCATTGGAAAACCGAAATATATATGATTCAAAATGTAGAAGAAACATTTGTTCAACTAGAAGCTCAAATATACTATTCAAACTTTTATTTACAGAGATAAGATTTTTAATATACGCCTGTTATAAGTTTCGTCTACCTTAAACTCGCCCAAACCATCCATTGAAAGCTATATATCTAGCATGATATACGTACCAGTATGGAAAACCTCAGTATATGGGATCACATTTTGATTTTTGTTTTTGAAGAAAAATGTTACAAACTCTACTATCTATTTCTTTTTTCCTTTGCGTTAATGTGTTAAACATTTTTGCGATCCAGGTCTGGTCGGTCACATTTATTCAGTTAATGGCGTTTTTATCTTCCTTGTTGTTTAAGGAGAAAGTTTAAGACTAACCCTGAATAAGTTTTATAAGATGAAGAAAAGAATGCTCCACATCTTTTCCATTTAAATGTTCTTATATGTGTAGAAAATGTTTTAAATTCGTCCAAACCTAACAGGTATATTATATTTCAATCATCGATAAACAAAATTATTTGAAGGGATTCACCTATACGCTTTGTAAGGACAGCATTGTGGTTACGACAATTTGAACAATGACAACTTCCGCAAATTAAAATACATAAATATAATTGACATAATTTGGCGTAAACACATTAATGGAGAACATTTCGTTTCGGATTTTAAGGATTTGTATATTTGTGTGCTCAACAGGTAAATAGAAATGTCATATTTGGTTTTATTAACATACTGAGAAGTTTGATTAAAAGGGTTCAGTAAGTATTTTCTATATATAGAGCAGGAACCTGCAACGTTGAATTCAATTCAAAAACATAATTGGCATAGGTATCAACAAACTGCAAGGTTTTTATGCTTTATATTTTATAAGTAAGTAGTTGATAACTCAAAATACAGAATTTAACGATATTAAGACATATATTATTCATCATGATCTAGTAGCTTAATTGTCAAGTATAAAACATGCCGAGAAATACCTGGATATATGTTTGATAAGAATTTAATCGCAAGCAGTTTATTGTTGTCTATATATTTCAACGTGTAGTCATAAATATACGGATAAGTTCTTTAATGATCAAATAAATGAATTAACTAATTTAGCAATACAGATTTTTTTATTTAGACTTATAGTATTTTGTTTACATTTGAATAAATGAAGATGTGAAGTAAACGTCAACAATAAAACAACCCAATACCCCTTAATCATAATGTTTATAGTAACATGATCATTTAGAGGTCAGAAGAATAAATCGGCTAGATAATACATGCATTGAATTCGATTTAGTATTTATTACAACGTCAGTTTCTGTCTTAAAATAACATTTACATGTCAATTAGCTATCGCATTTTGCTTACCATTTACTAGAGTAAAAATCGAAGGGTTTGATTGCCCTTTGGTATCTTCCACTGTTTTTTATACATGAAAGATAGCAGGTTAACACTCGGAAATCATAAGTCAATTAAAAACAGACAACACCATGGCAAAAAATAAAACGACGAGACAAACGACAATAACAAAACATTACACAGAAAATTGAAAAATTACGCACAATGAATTAACTACACAAAATAAAAACTGGGGTTGACCTAAGGTGCTTCAGAAGGGTTATCAGTTCCCGGTCCACATTCTCCCTTACCAATTGGTAATAAATAAAATAATTTTGGAATGTAAACATGTCAAATTCAATTGTAGAACTTCAAAATGTTCAGCTATTATCAGGACCAGAACCATGTCCAGATATTGCCCACAGTACAACCATCGGTAAGTGATCAAATTGTTGTTTACAATAAATAACCTTTTTTAAGATATTTGCTGTTCTGCTAATTGGTATGCTTTGGTTTAAGATTGAAAAAAAAAAATTCTGTTAAGGATTATTTGTTATCACTTCTTTCAATGCAAGCAGATGGGAATGATATGCAGAAAATTGAAAGTTTATGTTCTTCTTTCGATTTATCATTTCTCTATTTTCTTTCTTTTTCGAAGCGGATATGTGCACCACTGATTTTGCTAGTGAAGATTCGAAAAACGGAGGCACAACAACAGACAGTGTTGCGTTACGTGTCATGACCAAACAAGATGGATGTACATGTGAACTTAGTTTACAAAATCAATATAAGATGCACACTGTTTACATGAGAAAGTATGATTTACTGACAAGTGCAGCTCCAGAACAGGAGGCATGTGGACTTGCCATTGACATAGACTATACCAGTCCAAAAACTATTCCAGAGAATAAGGCTTCAATTGAATGTACAAAAGGAACAAATACACGCTCTGTTTCACTTCCACAAAAAGGAGTTATATATCTGAGATCTAGAACTATTGGTGGTAATTTCGTCAGAGGATACTGCATACAAATATATCGACGTATGTATTTCGAAATATTTGTGTTTCTTATCTGCAGAAATTGAATGTGAGATAGAAAAATCGGAAATACACATGTAACTGTTAGCTTCAAATGACACAAATATTGTAATTGAGGATGAACATTTTGGTAATGAAACGTATTTTGGAAATATTGCATATGTCAAAATGTAGGAAGATACTGAGGGGTCAGCTAAAAATCAGAAGGCTATGTTCGGACAGAAAAATATAACGAATCCATAAACAACTTTGATTAGCCACAAAACTGTAAGCAGTTCTTGTTCTTATTAAGCGAATCTCTGACTTGATGTGATTTTGAACTTAAATAAAAAAATAAAGATAAAAAAAAATACTAATAATAATGATAAAACAAGAACAAACACACAGAAACTTTAAAATTGTATAAAGTTTTCAAATAACATAAAAAGAATATATAAAAATTACCAAAAATATTAGACAGTACGATAGATCATCAGTTACAACCGACTTCTTTACGAATACAGACAACACTAACAACACATGGCCCAGATTGTCTGACTTGCATTGCTACATTGCTACAGGCAAAAAAATAAGGTCAGGTTGAGTTAGCTTTACACAAACCTCATATTTGCCTTTCTAAACTATATGTTGTTTACGTAAAACATAATGGGTTTCGTGTTACTTAGTCTTTAGTTTTCTATGTTGTGTATTGTAAACTGCTGTCTTTAGGTTTTGCTTTTGTTTTTGATTTTTTGGTTTTTTTTTGCCATGGCGTTGTCAGATTATTTTCGAATTGCCAGTTTAAATGTACCTTTGTTATCTTTTGCCTCTCTTATACATAAGAAACCTAACACAGTTCTACTAACAACAGTTTTACCACTAAATTGATCATGTAATAAAAGACGGAACACGATTTTGAAAGAAAGGCCAAAATGTGCACACTTCTACTTGAAAATGCAATGGTACCAATATTGTACTTACAAGTGTCATGAACTATCATCAAATTATTTAATCAGCAGTATTTCCACGATACAAGTATGTATTTATAACTGTTGTCTAGCATCCTAAAAGAAAAACTCAATGTAATTAATCGTTTTGTCTATTTCAAAACAAAACTAACATAGAAATTTATTTTCAGATCATATAACTGGCGGAAACGTAGGCATACAAATTAACTGCAGTCATCCTAATAAGCAAACAACGCAACAGGACAAGAATAATTCAAGTAAGGCTAAATGCAAATTTTTTTTGAAAATGACAAACATACTTTTCATGCGCTTATCCTCTCTAGCTTACATCACTAAGATAATTATCGCTGTTTTTTGTTGTTATTGCTTACTTTCTTTCAGGAAAATACGTCATGCTCCACGCATTTCAAAGCTATTTCCTAAAAATGTTGCAAAAAAAAACACGCTAGAAAATCGTTACAAGTTTGATTTTCTGAAGCAAAACAATTTGTTTCAACTGATATGATGGCGACTAGAGTATATGATAATAATCCATTACCGCATTACAGAAAGCCAACTAAAAGACCGAATAATACAAATTTCAAAATCTGAAACAATGCAGATTTTAAAATATAAAGTATGATGCAGTTGTATATTCGTACACCATATCACCTGTCACAATTCAATAATGCACCAAAACACTTGGAGACGTTTTATCTGGAACGCCACAGCTGTCTTATGTGGAACTCTGATATTACGTTATGTTGTTCTATTATTACTTGATGATAGTTTGTCTTTACATAATATGGTTTTGACATTACGTAATGATGTTTTGATATAACTCAATATGGAATAGTCATTACTTAATGATATTCCGATTTTACATGGTATGGTTTCGTATTGACTTTATATAGTTTTGTTATTACTCGATGTGGTTTCACCATTATTTAACGTGGTTGTGTCATTAGGCAATGTGGTTTTAACATTACTTGATGTGTATGTGACTTAACGTAATGTAGTTGTTTCATTACATGATGTGGTTTTGTTATTTCGTAATGATGAATTGTCAATTCTTTATATGGCTTTAACATTACGTAGTGATGTTTAAAAATTTTACGATTTTACACTGCATGTGTTTGTTTCAGTATTTGATGTGGTCATGTCATTCTTTGATGTTGTTATCCCATTACTACTACGAGGTAAAACCACGTGACCATTTGGGAAAAAATATGTTCTATTTTTAGACCGATTTCCATATGTCGTTTGTGTAATGCGCTTTGGATGAGTACCGCTATCCATTAAGTTAAAGTTCAAATTAAAGTTCAAGTTGTTGTTTATAGTTATTTGGTATGAAAAAGGGGAACGACAGACAAAATTAAGAAAAAAGTACTAAAACATTTACAGTAATTCGGACATAAGGGGGATATCCCAAAACCACTTGCCGGTTTTTTCTTAGTTTTCAAATGGAAGCAGTATTATAATGAGTTCGTAATTGATTCCAAGCGACAAAGCATCAATTCTATAAAATAAGAATTCTCCGGGTTTTTTTTTAACGTGTATGTTCATTTGAACATATGAATATTAAACTTTTATTTTTATTAATTGCAGATATACCACGCACTAATTGAAAAAAAAATAATTGAAATACATCTGTTTCAAGGGTGACGACGGATAGGTTCCAGTTGTCGTAACCACAATCCCGTCATCTTTTCCTCGAATGTAAACTACCAAATAAAACCAAATCACTTGGTTTGTACTTTTACGAATAACACGACGGGTGCCACAAATTGAGCAGAATCCGCTTACTCTTCCGAAGCACCCGAGATCACGCTAATGGATTTATGTTACCCAGTCATACTGATCTATTGAGTTGAGCCAATCAAAACTGTCCTTACATTTTCTTCTTATGCTGTGCTATTATACACTAGATTAGGTTAGGGTTTAGAGCTGACATACATGTTAAACTCCGCCGCGTGCACTTTCTTTAAATGCCTGCCCCAAGCCAGGAGCCTGTAGTTCAATGGTTGTCGTTGTTTCATGTGTGTCATATTTGTTTTTCGTAGATTGTTTAGCTATAAATTAGTCCGTTAGTTTTCTCGTTTGAATTACTTCACATTTTCACGTGGTAGTCTTTTGTGGTCGACTATACGGTGTGTTGAAGGCTGTTCGGTTGCCTATGATTGCTTGCATCCACTGCATTTAAACTATGTTGGATAATTTTCTCATTGGCAATCACACCACATCTAACTTTATTTCAATTTCTATGTTGTGTTTTGTATGCTGTAAAATTGTTTATCTTATGTACGCATACCTACCCATGAACCCTCTTTTCGCAAGCTCAAGCAAAAGCCCTTGATCCGCGATAAAAAAAAAATAGAACTCATATTAGATAACTCGAATTTCAACTCTAAATCTTAATCTAAATGAGACTCAAATAAGGGTTTACCTCGAACTCTACGTCAAAAGGTGACTCAAATTCAAAGTTGAAGTCGAATTATAATTCGGAACTCTATCTTTAAATGTGACTCAAACTCGAAGTTCAACTCGAAACTTGGTATGTGGTTGAAAGTTGTCTCATTGGCAATCATACCACATTTCTTTATTTCTATATAAGGTTTTTTTTTAAATGCATTAAATATTACCGAATTAAACTGTTTTGACATGATAAATTTGTAAACCTCCATGAATTGTTATAAAACTTGTATAGGAGTTATTCTTCAAGATCAAGATAAAAGCATCTACAGAAAAAACATTTTTTCCCCAGTTAAGTGTACCGGTTAATGTACAGTCAGTCAACATTACGATTTTACACTGACAGCAGAATTATCAGGTGCGACACAGGGTTAAAAAGATTCTTTAATTTCTTTATTAATTTACAGCTTCCATTTGAGAATTAAGGAAAAAACGGTAGGACCAAATGGTTTGGGGATGTCCCCCTTATGTTTGAATTACTGTTAATTTTTTAGTACTTTTTTTCTTATTTTTGTCTGCCGTTCCTCTTTTTCATACCAAATAACTATAAACAACAACTTGAACTTTAATTTGAACTTTAACTTAATGGATAGCGGTACTCATCCAAAGCGCATTACACAAACTACATATGGAAATCGGTCTAAAAATAGAACATATTTTTTCCAAAATGGTCACGTGGTTTTACCTCGTAGTAGTAATGGGATAACCACATCAAATACTGACATGACCACACCAAATACTGAAACAAACACATCATGTACATTTGTAAGGTAAAATCGTCAAATTTTGAAACATCATTACGTAATGTTAAAGCCATATAAAGAATTGACAAATCATCATTACGAAATAACAAAACCACATCATGTAATGAAACAACTACATTACGTTAAGTCACATACACATCAAGTAATGTTAAAACCACATTGCCTAATGACACAACCACGTTAAATAATGGTGAAACCACATCGAGTAATGAAAAAACCATATCAAGTCAATACGAAACCATATCATGTAATATCGGAATATCATTAAGTAATGACTATTTCATATTGAGTTATATCAAAACATCATTACGTAATGTCAAAACAAAATTATGTAAAGACAAACTATCACCAAGTAATAATAGACTAACATAACGTTACATCAGAGTTCCACATAAGACAGCTGTGGCGTTCCATAGTTTTACTGTATCCATACGTGGTTTGTGCTAAACTACCTTTTACAGCTAGTTTTGATTATCTATGAAGTAAATACAACATAAAATATAGGTTCTTGATCATTTTTGTTTTGTCAACTGTGTGTTTTGTAAATTTGTATCATGACTTAACACACCATTTACGTTCTTGTTTGAAGTAAAATTTCAAACTGGTAAATTCAATATCTGCAACTTATTTGATCAATATGTAAATTTAGAAAAACAAAAATTAGGAAGGAATGTATAAATAGTACAAAATTCAAGTATGTATTGTAGATACAGATTCAACCCTGTATATTGCCATCGGTGTAGGATCTGTTGTTGTGGTGATCGCTTTGTTTGTAGTAGTAGCTATTATAATTATCAGGTAAGAGGTAAAGGAATTTCATTTTAGATTTAGAAGCCAGGTCCAGTCACTACAACTAGGTATAGACATGTTGTTTTGTAACATTAACTTTAACTGCAAAATTTATCAAATATTACAAAATTTTACATTCTCGTTGTCTTATAATTTCTATATATCCACATCAAAGTAATATAATATAGATTTAAAACAAACAAACATTGTTTTATCATTTTGTTAAAGGTTTCCATAGATCTGATAAATTATTACTTTATTTGTAATGTCTACATCCGAGATACAATTTACTTTTACGAAAAACAAAATATTCTTTGTTATAATTTGCAAAAATTGTTTTTCGAATGGTTTGTATGGTATAACTATGTTACGAGTCTGCAAACTATTCGACTACATTTCAAATGTAGTATGAGGGCCTTCCGTCATCGTGTCCATTCGAAATGGTTGAAAATTATTATTAAGATTAGTGCAAAACTTAAATATACATGAATGTAAAGCTGCGTTTATAGAAAAAAAAAATGAAAAACATAACAAGTGTATAAATATAGCAGACAATCAACTCATATATCTTTAACATAAAAGTTTCAAAATGACAAAAACAAGATGTTATTTGGACTTATACCTCGAATTTGACATACACGGTCATCTCAGTACCGGAATCTATGACTAACGAGACGATTTTAATTTTGATATTATCAATTTCCCCCACCTTAGTAGCAAGATACCAACTTCACCTGCATATGAGATATACATTTCCCAATTTATTCGGTATTCAAGAGCTTGTAGCTGCTACTCAGACATTGTAAACCGTCACCAGTGTCTGAGCAGAAAGTTGATGAACCAAGGGTATGTCAAAGAACGTCTCGTCCTTTTTCTAAAAACGTTCATCGGAAGATACCAAGACCTTGTTGATAAATATTCCGTATCAACTTCATAAATAATACACGATGGTCTTGAAGTATAGATTATGAGTACTGACGTTGTTTAACATCTTAATAACGTGTTATAATATTCTTTTATTTGTCTTTTTGAATATTACTTTTACTGTTTAGTCTATATTTGGTGATATTCATTTGACGTGGCTCGGTACTTATACATTCCGTCATTGTGCTATTGTGCAATGGTAAATTTTTGTACTCCTGTCTTTCATTTTTGCTTATGTGCTTTGTCTATATGCCTTTTTGTGTTTCTTTGTTACATATTTGTTTGTTTTTATAGTGATTATGATTATAACACTATGTTGACTGTTGTACCCCTATTTTGACATTTTTACCTATTATGTCTGTTTGTTTTGTTCACACATCGTTGTCAATATAACGGAATTTTATGCGACTGTCATACAAGTGAAAGGTTTAGCTAGCTATAAAACCAGGTTTAATCCACCATTTTCTACATAAGAAAATGCCTGTACCAAGTCAGGAATATGACAGTTGTTTTGAATCTTTCTCGGGGTTCGGTATTTTTGTGATTTTACTTTTTACATATACAGAACATGCACACATGACAGTTTAAAGTACTATATTAATTATTTTTTTATCGATCTGAAACATCTCTCTTTTAATCTTGTCCAGGTTTGGTTATCTCTTTAATTGATTTTTCCAATATTTTTGTTTTGGAAAAATTCACAGGAAAGCCAGACATAATTGATTTGTCGTTAATTTTGTTTTTCATTTAATATGTTCTTTATTTTTTTTTGCAATTTCTTTAGGCGAAAAAGCAATGAAAACAAGTATAAAAACCAAATTCAACCTGATAACGAATGCACTGATGATGATTCGGACGGATTGAAATATAATACATTATACAATGCATCTGAACAACAAGACATCATGGAAGAAGATTATCATACAGTTGATTTGGAAGGGAAACAAAATAGAACTGGAAGACATACCTTTGATGGCGACTACAGTGCAGTCGATGGAAACTATAGCTCCATTGATATAGTTAATATGCCTGCGAAGGATGGCTCAAAAACCGACTATAAAATTAAGTCAACATCTACTACCACAAGTAGATCAGAAACACAACGAACTGAGGAAGACACGAGTAATAATGTGAAACACGTGACTCCGATTGCTGAAGGTAATGATGTAGAGTATGCTGTTGTTGACAAAAGCAGAAAAACTGACAAAAGCGTAAAACATATTACTGCTCCAACTGATAGCAATGTCGAGTATGCTGTTATTGATAAAAATAAAATGCATCAATAATAAAGCTTACTTGTCTTTTATTACTCTTGTAGCCTCTTCACACAATTCATTATACTGACGAGTGCTTTTACATATCAGCAGAATGACAAATAGTTAACAACAATAAGTCACCGTACGGCCTTCAAAAATGAGCAAAACTCATACCGCATAGACAGCTATAAAAGACCACGAAATGACAAATGAAAACAATTCAAACGAGAAGATTAACGGACTCATTTATATACAAAATAATGAACGAAAAACAAATATGATATACAGCAACACACGACAACCACTGAATTACAGATTCCTCACTTGGGACAGGCACATACATAATGTGGCAATATTAAACTAGTTTGAAGGCGCCAACCCTCCCCTAGCGTGGGACAGTGGTGTAACAGTACAACATAAAAAAAAAAAACCGTTGAAAAGGGCTTAACTCATCAGATTGATACAAAGCAGCTAGATATTTAACAATTTGCACACACCGGACGTGGCAGGGTATTTATACATCCCCACAACAAAAAAGACACTAAGTACAGATCTGAGAGAACTCGCAGTTACTGACCAAAAAAACAAAAAAAAAACAAGTAAAAATAAAAATCAAGTATTGCTGATTTTTTTTTAACATGGATTTGTATTTTGTATTTTATCACTGAATATCCTGAATATTAATTTTGTATTGTATCCAAAGGGTCAGGTGAGATATACTCATCACTTGGTCTCCATTAACGTTACAAAAATCTTTTCCTCTGAAACTACTGGGCCAATAAAAGCCAAACTTTGCCACAATCATCCATGTGGTATCTAGTTTCCAAATTGTGTCTATGTCTGTCAACCAACATGGCATTTATTTTTTTTGTGTTTTAGTCTAATGTCTTAACAACAATAGTAGATAGATCGACAATTTAAAAAGCCGAAATGATCAACAAGACAAGTTCTACATATTAGTATAATAGCCATCATCGTCAGTCGACTCCTTTTGTGGAGTTATTGCTCTTTGGTGAAGATTTTTGCCAATTTTTTTGTGTTTTTGACTATTATTTCGAAAACTAGAATAGATAGATCATTGTAGACACTTTTAATAGCAAAAATGATCAATAAAACAAGATCTTCAAATGAATCAATATGGCCAAAATCGTCAATTAACTTCTTAATGGAGTTCTTCCACTTTAATGACGATTTTTACTAATATTTCGGGTTTTGTCTATTATCTTGAAAGCTATAAAGTATAGCTGTAAGCAAAAACATGATCAGCAATGCAAAATCAACATTAAAGAGATTTTTGTCTTGAATTCTATTCTCGTCTACAATGTAGGAGAGCGTCCATTGTTGAAGATGTACATAAACCTAGGTAAGCGACATAAGCTCTTTAAAGCCTCTAGTTTGTTTTAGAGCAATTATTACTGAAAAAAATCCTGACAGTCACATTTTTGGTATGCAATGAATACCAAGCTGAAGTGATCATTAGCATGGCATTGCCGCACGGACTATGTTAGGATACTCAAACATTCTTCTTAAATATACAGATCTGGGCTATTAATTGTTCAAATTTATGAGCTTTGTTTTTACCTTGTTGCTTTAATATAGCAAACCACATGTCTGTATTTTTACAATATAAATAATCTGTGAAAAGCCGATTTGTCAAATATCTAATCAAAACATTTGACCCGCCATTACCTTTAAATGTTTTGCTTGTTTGGTGCTTTTTGATAGATTGGACGTGCTTTATAAATTCTAAATTTTGGTGCACATATTTAACTGTTGTATCTTGTAGTAGAAATGTAAAAAGATTAACAATTGTGTCAATAAATGGACAGCATATAGATTAGTAATAAGAAATCCGCTCAAATTCATGCTAGGAGATATGTAGTGATGTGTGAGTTTTATCCCAATGTCGAAGGCATCACTATTTTTGGGTTTTGGTTTTGTCAAGTGCATTCAGGAATTATACGTCATTAATTAAGGTCCCGAAAGAGGATAGCTAAATATATATCCTCGTAATTTCCAAACACATGTCTCTTCTTTAATATTGTTTGGTGACAATATTTGAGACAAACGTTCTCAGCTCATACTAGGAAATGACCGATATATCAAAGGAAAGCGCGTGCATTTAAAAAAAATTAACTAATATGATCACATCTACTGCGAGCTGTAGATTGCCTTTGACATCGACAACATATTGATTATCATGTCAATATGAGTACCAACAATCCAACTGATCTAAGTTGTATGCCAATTTAACTCCTACTGCACTTTACATTTGCACAGGTTTAATTGTATTCTGACCTCTATTTAGTCAATTATACCACACAATTAATTTTTACTTTAGTATTTAAAAAGGTACACTTCGTAGATTATATTTTTCAAACGAAGACGGTGGGGTTAAACATACAAAGTGTCACGGTTCCAATATTCACGAGGTTGTCGACGAACCTTGTTCGCTCCTTTTTTTGGATCCTGTGATTCCCTCAGGTTTTATTCATACATTTGTACTTTGATTTGTATCTTCGAAATGGATTTATGTCATTTGACATCGATAAACTAAGTCTCAAATCTCGAAATATCAGAGATGACATCTTATTGAAGTCTTTTCCGCTTGATGAATTTTCACCAAAAACAACACATTGCTGGAATTCATTATGTCATCCTTCCACCGTCCATCCCGTTTAAGATGAGGTTTGTGTCAATTCTTCGGTTATAGTGTTTGCCCTTTTTCTTCTTCTGTGCATTGTTTTTCGGACTTTGTATTGTATTTCCGTCTTTTAATGCATCAGCCACAAATAAGCAGCGGAATATTGTAATCTAACAAGAAACCTT